CCCTACAGCAGGATGTGACCTTGCACACTCTCCTTCAGATGCCTTCCCCTCTCCAACCCCCTCATGGCCAAAGCTTGGCCCATCTCTCTTTCCAGATTCATGATCACCAAAGCAATTTCACTCATTTCTGTATCCTCTGCTGAGGACTCCCAAGCTTCTTTGCAGTCCAGTTGCCCCGTGCACTTCTTGACATCTCCCACATGACTTGTAGACATCCCAGGAGGGATGCTCTACATGGGTCTTGTGTTTTCCATGCCCTTTAAAAATCATTTCCCTTCAATTATTTAAGAATGAAAAAAATCATTCTTGATTCCATATTCTAATCTCAACCACTACATATATATTTTTCTGGAGGAAAAAAGTCCATATTTAATAAAGGAGCCAGAATTGCTGAAAAAAATTATATGAAATCCATGAAAATTCACAAATCATAATAGAGAATGATTGAACTGAAAATGATAATAAAGCTGAAAAATTGTATCAGGTTAAACAAGTTTTAAAAAAGTACAATAGTAACTCATATACTACAAGAGCAGAAATAGTTATTTCTTTTCTTTTCTTTCTTTTTTTTCTGTATTTTTAGGGCAGGGTCTACAGGGTCTCACTAGGTAGATCAGACTCATAGTGATTCTCCTGTTTTCAGCCTCGCAAGTGCTGGGGTTACAGGCGAGCTCTACATGCTCAGTCTCAATCACCATCTCAGCGCACCCCGCTGGCAGGGCCGGAACAACAAGCTGGTAATCGAACCCCAGCCACTGTGTTCTGCCTAAGCAGGAACTTTAGTCTGCTGAGCTATCAGGCCAGTCCAGAAATGGTTATTTCTGCCAGTGGTTCTTCCACATGAATAAACCTGGTCATAATCTCCACTCAGGTTTACAGAGATAAATTTTATATAAAAGAATCTCGAATCAAACTTTAGTTACGTTGATATATCCAAATCATAAGAGAGCTTTAAGCTTTTTTTAATGAGATATAATTAAATTCCTTCCTAAAGGTTTGATGGTACCATTGGGTCACTACTTTAAAATTCGGGCTTCCACTGCTTCTCCTTTCTCATTCTAAATGAAAGATAAAATAACAATGGTCACCTTTTATATCACAGTGAATTATATGCAAAAATGATAAAATAATGGGGAAATTTAAGAAAGTGGAGAAGTGTCAGCATTGTGCACAATTTAATATATGAAGACCGTAGCAGTGACATCCAAACTTTGGGATCCAAACATCTGGCAACTGTAAGAGCATGTTTACCTGGGCAAAGGACACATGCTGTACTGAGAAGGAAACCATAATCCTTACATGGCCCAAAGTATCTCACACATTCCTCTCCTCCTGTACATTTAGAAGCACTACAAAATTTAGCCTTGTATTTGGAAATTATGTACAATGTTTTTAAAATGACAATTACCAAATAATAGCAAAATATAATTACTCTCATGGGTTAGTTCATGAGAGTTTTGAATATTCTTCACAGAACAGTATAAATTCACACCTCAAGACTTATAGTAGAATAAATTTTAGGACTTGGGGATAACAGTGTAATATATGAATAAATATATAGAATAAACCATAGGAAGGTATTTTTAAAACTTTCAGGTAACAAGCTTCCAGTATGGCATGAAAACTAAAAGCTATGGAAAGCAATAATTACTGATTTGTGTTACATAAAACAGAAACAAACTGAAAGCAAAATACAAATGACAAACTATAAAGACTTTTGTGATTTATATTACATATGGCTTTTCTCATTACTATATAAAGAGTTCCAATAAATCAACAAGAAAATGCCTATAACTGAATAAATAGAAAGGTAAGTTTTATCATCAGATAGGTTAATGGTGGGAAATAGAAATAGTTGTTAAACAAGCAAAAACAGATTCAACCTCATGTGTAATTAAAGAAATGAAAATTAAATCCTTTTGGAGATATTTTCTACCAATAACATCATAGAAAAAAGATTTAAAAAGCATTCTTCTATCAAAGTTAAAGAAGAAATAACAAATTCCTATGTCACTAATAGAGTATAGATTGAAATACGTTACCAAGTGAAATTTAGTAAAGGCATAAAATTTATAATTATGTACTGTACCTAATATTTCTCCTTTTAAGAATTTTTCCAATAGATGTAATCCACACATGTGCAAGATAAATTATTTGGATAATTATTTACTGCACCATTGCCAGTGAGAGCAAAAGTCTAGAAATAATCTAAATTGCCATTGCTAGGTCAGTAGTTAGATAAATTATAATAATTGCAATGCTATGTATCTATAAAAATGACTAAACTCTTTGTACAATATACCATCTTTTATTTTATACTGTTAAATTAAAAATAAACAATATGCAAAAGAGTAAATAGATTCAGCCATTGTCTAAGACAGGGCAAAATAGTTTTTGTCCTTATATGTGGATGAGAATAACTCTCAAACAGTGAACAAAAATTTAATAACATTGGCTGCCTCTTGAGAACTGAATGGGGAAAGAAGTTTAATGGAATATTTTTATGTACACTGTACTTTAAAAACAAAGAGTATTCTAAAGTAGATGGTAACTAAAAAGTTTCAACAGTGAATTTTTTTGGTCTCATTCTCTTGGCTGAGTCAGACGTGAGGCTCTTGGGAGGTAATGAGGTTTTCCAGACATCAGCAGCTCAACAATGGTGTCGGGTGGCCTTTATACCTTCTCAATGCTGAAGACCAGGATATGAAAAAGAATGAAGATCAGAAAACAGAATAACCTGAGACCTAGAGGGCTGAGGAAGACAGGGAAAGAGAGTTGACCCAGAGGAAAGCAAGGGGGTGGAGAGGTAGGTCGGTAAATATCTAAAAGTGTATCAGAAGTTTACAAGGAGCTTGGGCTTAAATTTAGTTAAACAGACAAGGTTGTGCCAAAAGAAGAGCTTTTAACTCAAGACTAATATAGGGATTTGAATTTGAAAAAACTATTCTCCTAACAGTGTATGACACACAGTCTTGTCATCCAAAGACCAAGCTGGACAGAGACCAAGCCACACTCTAGGTAGTGTTTTCTGGAGGATGTGACACAGCCTGTACCAGTCTTTATTCCTGAGCTGAACAGTGGGAAGGTTGACTAAAGCCCTTCTTCTGTGACGAATCCTGGCATTCAATTCAATTGTTTACTTCCATAAGTGTTTTTCAATCTCTCTTAGCCTCTGTATTTGTGAATCACTAGATTTGGAATTACTAAGTGTCTTGGAGGGCAGAGTCCTGTCTGCCAGGGTCCCCAAGATCAAGGCCCCTCAGCTTCTTATTGTTCTATTCTAGGATGAAATGCAAATGTAGGTTTCTCAGTCATGACAAGGGATCAAATACGCAATAAGTAACTTTTGAAATAAACGCATCTTGAAAAAAATAAAATAAAAGCAAAACAAAACAAAACAAAAAACTCCCCCAAAGACTGTTAAGGGACGATAAGGGCATGAATGTCCACTCTGCTGTGTTGAAATAGCCGTAATCATTTTGAAGAGAAGTACAGGTTTTATTTGAACTCGTGGTTACAAACTCGGATTTGAACGGCAAATAGGACCCACAGCTTGTTTTGTAAATAAAGTTTTGTTGTCACACAGCCAAAAATAAATAAATAAACACATCTTGTGCAAGATTTGGGACAAATTTATACTAACAATTACCTATTACTTATTAGAAACTCAAATTAATTGTACTCAGTGTTTTTATTTGTGAAATCTAGAAGTCTTACCTTGGTCACCAATGTTTTGAAAAAAAATTTTATGTCTAAGTTATGTATACTATATTTATATACTATATATTTGTATTACTAGATTCTATATTAATTTTTTCTTATTAAATATTTATTATATTGAATATTTATGCACTATACACTAGCAACATAATTGATATAAACATACATCTAATTTATTATATCATATATACATTGTATATTTGTTAATATAAATAATATATTATGCATATTAGTATGTTTAACACATTTTGTCTTCAAATTAAAACAATGCTGAGATTCCATCTTACCCTAGAAAGAATGGCTATCATCATGCAATCAAGGAATAAAAAATACTGGTTCGACTGTGGGGGGAGCAACTCTTCTCCACTGTTGGTGGGAGTGTACACTGTTATACCCACTGTGGAAACTCCTCAAAAAACTAGGATTAGGAATCCCATTGGATCCAGCTATTCCCCTTCTGAGTATTTTTCCAGAAGAGTTAAACACATCATACCATAATGTTGTGTGTCCATCCATATTTACAGCAGAACAATTGGTCATAGCTAAGTCTTGGAAACAAATCAAATGCCTATCAGCTGAGGAATGATAAAAAAGATGTGATATTTTTATACTCAGCTATAAGGAAAGATTCAAGGCTTTGCAAAAGTGAATGGATGGTACCATTCTCTTAATTCAATGAATAGAGAGGTTTGTTCTAATAGTGTTTGAGACAGGATATAATGTCTATATCTTGTACAATGAACAATCACTAAGACAACAATATGCAATGTATTAATTATTGAAAATGTGCTTGTAATTGGTTGTGAAACTCTCATTGCTATTTTTTTCTGAATAAAATTATTTTTAAAGAAGAATCTTATCCTATTTAATGTTAAGATGAACTTACAAGAATTAAAATGGCCTTTGCTAATAAAGACATTGATTTATCCACAAAAAATGTCAATGGATGCAACTAGACACAATACTCATAAGTGAAATAAATCAGATTCATGTGTGTGAACATCATTCTGTCTCCCTGGTGTGAGAAACTGAAAGAGTAGATAAGGTCTAAAATGTACAATAGATACTATAAAAGGGAAAGAAACTGCTCTAAAGGAAAGAACAACTTGGATGGGGGAAAAGAGAAAAAAAAGGGGGGAGAAATGTATATGTACACAAGATAGCTAAGATCATTGTACTATCAATTCATTGAAAGCAACAGTTGGTGCTTATATTGTCTGATCAATTCTTCATGCCTATATCTGGTAATCTGGGCAACTACTTTAAAGATAACAATATTCAGCTTTGCACAGGGGCAGTATTGTAGCCAATGAGGTTTACCTGAGGAGCGATTATTGCTAATTAAAAGCTTTTCCCAATACCCCGCCATGACTACTTGAAGATAATAATATGCAATACAATGACCATTCTTGATTTCTTACCATCTTGTTTTGAAATTCTGCATTGTTTTTTTATTGCTTTTTCTCTCTAAAAAATAAAAAGTAATGATGAAAAGAAATAAAAAAGTAGTGTTCCTCATTGTTTTGAGTTGGAGCCTGAACTCAAAGTGAGTCAGAAAAGAGCTATTTGGGTTTGCTAGAGAATCTCCTCTCACCATTGTCAGACATTTTTACTTGGCCAAGACTCCCAGAAGGCACAACACGGCTTTCTGCTGTTGCTTGCCTGGTACCTGACATAAAGAGAGCACAGAATGAATAGTAGTCAAATGGAAATAAACTAAGGTATCCTTTTTGTACTAACACACGTACACATCCATACCTCCTGTGCCAGTGTGGTTACCTCCTTGTGACTTCTGAATTTTCTTACCAAGGAGTCACATTGACCATTGTCTCAGACTTCAACAGGAAAATTCCCCTGGGATGCCTGTGAGAAGTGTCAGCATTTTTTTTTCTAAATGTCCTAAGACTTGCAACTATTCAGCTCTTGGATAGGTTTTATTTGAAATGATGTGTTCATTGAGAACTTGCTAGCTCTCCTTTTTTGTTCTAACAAGGAGCAAGTTCAGACCCTCAGGCCTACTTACCAAGATCTGATGGAAGCAGAACTGAAATTGCACATTAATAATCTACACATGAGTAGTACACACTGAGCAGTCATGGCTCGGGCTACCCAGCCCATTTCATTGTTCTAAAGAAATAATGGGCTGTGGACACTTTACTGCTAAGAAAATGGAATGATCAGTAGCTTAATTGAGCTGAACATAAACGACCCTATTTAAATCTCTTAAAATCTGCAGAGGAAACAAATCTCTCCCTCGTTGAATGTTAAATCAAAATAAATTGTTAGAGAATTTCTCCATGTTCATGTAGCTTACTTCCCCCATGCTACCAAAACCAATCTAAAAAAAAAAGGCTTAGAATAATATGAAAAGGCCTCTCTGAGTAAAACATTCAGCATGGTGCAAAGCTCCAAGTAACTTTTCTTGAAGATAAAATATAACTTTCAGTTCTAAGAAAATTCAGGAGGTCCTGAAAATATCTACTAATTAAAATTGCTCAGAGGGAATTACATAATGGAACTGGATGCAATTTCTATATCTACACTTCATTAATCCAGCATTTCACAGGAACAAATGTTTGCATTGCCTTTTTCTTAAACACACACACACACACACACACACACACACACACACACACACACGAACACACACATTTCAAGCTGCCAAAACTAATTAGGTAAATCATAGCCAGTATTCTAGAATAAATTATCTCTTTATTTTCCTATTAGGTAGCTAAGCAATAATCTCCATGTGTTCCTTTCATTTTCTTTCACAAGGCTCTTTTTTTAAATGCACACCTAGCACTCTGACTTAGTGGAACTTCTCAAGATGCCTACCTTTCTTTCAGGAATAATTAACGATAACTTATGAATGAGCTGAATACCAGCTGAAATCCTGTCACATGTGCTGAACTATTAAGCCTGACTTCAAAATTTTTAACTTCTCAAATCAACATCCAGGAAGATTCCAAAACATTAGTTCTTACTTACGCAATTCTGCAAATCTTTGTCTCCTCAGTTCTAGGAAATTGGTTGAGAATCAGTATCACAGTGCATTTTTCAAGAGGATCTTTTCTTAGGGACATTCTGCTACCTTTTGATGGACTTGAGCAGTTTCTGTATATTAGGTCTTCAGGAGGTCATTCTTATGCAACTATACTTTTGTAGGAGTTGGGTGACTGTTTTAGAAAATAGTAAACAGAGACTTATTTCTTACAGTCCTGAAAGCTGGAAGTCCAGAGTCAAGAGGCTCATGTGTAGTGAGGGACTTCATTCTGTGTCCCATGACCTAAGACAGAGGAGCCCCATGGGATACAGAGAGGGTGAGGCAGGGACTGTGACAATTTTATCAGCCAAAGTTTGAGTCTGAAAACTTCATGGCCTTCCACACCATGCCAACCTCTCTGTGTGGATGTCTTCTTGTGCTCAACATTTCTTGTGATACTGCGCATTCTCATTGTATGGTCTCTACAGTAAGTGACCAGTAAGAAATTCCTCAGTATACATGGAATGCAAAAGAGCAGCAACAAAGAAGATATATCACTGAAGAGTACCATTACTTCCCCAATCACTACTTAAATATCTTAGTCGACAGCAGTGAATTCTTTTTAGTGGCTTTTTTTATATTATTTAATGTCATTTGTATCACTACAAATTTAAATTTCAGCTTTGCTGCATGTATAGAACACATGCACAACACAATATTGCTACAGAGATGACCTCTTTACAGTAAGTCTATGCTAGAGAGGGCATGAAGTATATTTTCATTGTATTCATTATGAGCCTCCCAAAACTGAATCTCATGTTCAAGAAGTAATATGGGTTCTTGTGACCTTTTCCCCAGTTCCTCTATTTATAGTGTACAAATTTTGCCAAGCCTGGGTCAAGAACTATGTCAAACATTCAAACAACATTGCAGTGTTGAATTCCTGAACACAGACCATCTCCTAGGCTTTGGTTTCATAACTGTCATGTCCTCATGAATTGAAGGTTTGTGCTTCTATTTTGAACCAATCTGTTAGACTCATTAGCATTCTCATTCACTTGCCCTACATAACAAAAGCCAGTTCCCTCTTTAGGTGTGAGAGCAACAGCTGTGGAAAATATTCAGATTATACTGGTGACCTTGTTAACAAGGAATTTGTGGGCACATTTGCCTTTATTGGATTATAATTTATAAAAATGCGATTTGACCACAATACTAATAAAAATAGGTTAACAATTATTTTTATTGTCTGGACTGTTTCGTTGTTTTATTCTATAGTTGTTATTCCAATTACAAGAATAAGAAAAACACATTTTACCATTCTCATTACAAGCTGTATAGCGTTTAATCCTAGCAGTGATTTAAAAGAAACATTAGAGTTCAGGATGCAGTAATAGCAGTAAATGTCTTTTACCAATAAAGCAAATAAGTGGGAAAGTACTGCTTCCATTCCCTCCAGCACGATCCACACAGTATCTCCATGCTGCTCTACCTGGCTCTGGAAAGCAGCTCTCCAATTCACCTTGATCGTTGGAACTATCTTACAACCCTTTTGGTTTAGGCATAACTGATCTTATGCCTTTCTGTTTCAAAATCTGTCTACAGTCCCTTGTGCCTTCTGAGAAGGAGATTGATCATTGCATGGCCTTGGAGGCTTTCTACAACAGGCTTCATCCTCAGGTCAGCCACCCGTCCATACGTGAGTCCTCTAGCTGCAGCAGGCTGCATTCTGCTGCCCATCCCCTGCGCCAGCCCTGAGCCCTCCTGGCCTTCCAGCCTCTGCTACAGGCCCAACCTGCATTCCTTGCTCACCTCACCTCCTCAGTACCATAAAGTCTCATCAGAAGAGACTTCCTTCCATCACCTCCTTCAAAACTTGCCCTGTGCTCACCCAAGTGACGCTGTCTGTGCCACCCAGGAGGTGCATGTTTCACATTTCTCCTTTTATCTGAGCTCTTGGAAGTTCCTTTTTATGCCACAAGTTGTGAATTTAATAACCCTTAATGGTGAAGACTCATTTATCCATCCATTTGCTCTGTAACTGCAAATTTAGTACACGACACATTCTTGATTCCTAAAATTTTGTGTTTTTATAGACAAACCAGAGAATGGGAGAAATGTCTCATTTACAGAATATACACAATGTTCTCTGTTCAGCAGAAGTATGTCACTATAAACGTGCATTGTTCTGGAGACCAGGGCACCAGTAGCCTTTCTCCCAGGGCCCCCCAGTAGATGGGCCTGGAAGAGGCAGATGAGACCAGTGACACCTTCACAGGGCGCTTTTGTAGCACTTCTTTCTCTGGGTTCAGATGGTCTGTGATGTCTATCGATTGTGCTGCCCACTGCATTATGCAGTAGTTTTTCAGCTACTCTGCATTTCCATAGGGTAGGCCTACTGTCCTGTTGCCTTTAAGTGTCCCCTAGCAGAGCTCCTAGTGCATAGCAGGGCCCTTTCTCATTTGCTTAGACTGAGAACAGCATTTTGGTTGGCAGCACCTGTGTTTGCTTGTTTCAAGAGTCACATGTGCCCTATCTCTGGCCTTGCTTTGGCTGTGTTTTTTGCCATGCAGCAAGCCCACCTGTTCCACCCCTGTGAAGCTGTGTCCCACAGCCTGAGTGACAGCTTTCCCTGGAGACCTGGGAAGATGCTCAGGCAGGCTGCAGGATGCCAGCGCTTGGTACCTGGAAGTACTCCTTTTCTCTTCCCAACCCCCAGGTGAAACAAAGTGCTGCAGGTACTTGTTCCTCAATGATGGGGAAGGCTATCACATGTGGCTTTGAGGGCTGGCCTTAGAAATCCACTTTCTTCTGAAATTTGTTTTTTCTCTTTTCATACCACCTACTTCTGAATCTTTTTCCACAATGGCCTCAAAAGATGCATGTGTGAGGAACAGTAATATAATTTTATGTATCTGTTTTAAATATATGCAGATACTAAGGGGAAATCATTCCACTGGTTTAATGCTTTTTTAAGTCACGTTAAATTAGCTTTTCTTTCAGGTGGGCAATATGCTGAGCAAACATTTTAACAAGGACAGATCAACAGAGCAGAGTTTTAAGAAAAAAAAAAAAAAGAGAGAGAGAGAAATTCTAAAGCCATGAAGGAAGTAAAGTAGCCCATAGACCTGGTTTTGCTTTTGCTTTTTTGGGTAGATTCCGCCCATGAAGCTCTGTGACAGCTTACAAACCAGTGGCCTCTCCTGCACAGGTGCCAAGGCGTGTGTGGATCATAGCATTTTTCACAAAGATAGGAGGGAGGTGTCCTGTTCAGATTCACCACTTCCAGCCTCTGTAGTTACTTCTCAACTATCACACTTGTTCTGCTGCTGTCTTTGTTTCAGTTTCACTTCCAGAAATTCCAAGCTGTCTTGTGTACACCTGTCCTGCAGGACTAGTGGCAGGTTTATCTTTACAATGACACATGCTGCT